GGCCCAAAATCTGGTCCTAGTTAGACTGTTTCTGATTATTATTGAAACATACATCCCTCCTACACAATCATCGACCCAACTGTGGTGTTTATATGAACCAACGATTTCCTTGTATTGAAGACTGTTTTGATTTCGAATTCCAAATACAGTGCATACGTTCGTGCTTATCTAATACTTCTTGATTAAATTGTGTTATTCCTGGGATTACTAATTTATACTATAATTCAAATACTCTTAAACATCACATTAAATATCGTTAGCGAATAGCAGAAATAAACAAGTCAAATGCGAGAATGGACTTTTGAAAACGTATATTTTGTACAGTCGTTGACTGGAAAGCAAAGCAAAGCAGAATGTAGTTCAGTGGAGAAGGCGAGTAAGCCAACTGGATTTAATTAAGGGTTAATTGATATTTATAGTCACACAAAAATAAGTTACAGACATGAGATGGGTAAGATAGTAAATAATCACACAAATGATCATGTGGAAACATTCAAAATTAATAAGCAAATAAGTGACAAGGTCAAAATGTGGCTTGGGAAAGATGAATAGATTGCTCCGTCCAGAGGCTAGAATAGCCTATGTAGACTCGACATAGTGCCGCAAAAATTGATGAATCCGCCGCTAACGAACCTGACGCAACAAAATATGTCGATGAAGAACTTTCTGCGCTCCATACTTTAGACGAACAAACTCAGCGAACCCAGCTCAGTTGATTAACAACTCAGGTTTCGATCACACGACCAAATCGGAGAAGGATCCTGAAACCACTAAAGTGGTGAACCAGACTTCGAACTAACCTAAATCCGCGAAACTAAACAGACTACGAACGCCTCGAATTCTATGCATTCGACAGACAAACATGGTGGTTGAACTAATGGACGAGCGACTAAAACCATTCAACACTTAATCCGCCGCATTCAGCGAATCCAGTAGAGCAGCGACATGGACATGCTCGAATCGCATTATCTCATCGACACTGTTCTCGTGTCAATTCTGCTCACTGATCTTTTTGAAGGATCATTCCATTACGATTTGAATTATAATAATATATACATTATTACATTAATGTCATATCATCACACAACGTGAAATTGTTATTGCTGTTCGTATTGACATTTAGTTACAACATTTGTGCAACTTTGTCATTTAACTATGAATAATAATTTTGTAAACGTTCCATTCACGTCATGACGTTCAAAGTTCACTGGAATATTTCTATCATTCAATAACGTAAATTTGTCCTGCACTGAATGAGTTCGTTTCATTTTTTAAATGTCATTTCTTTCCCTATTATTACGTTCATTCACTTAATCGAGGTCATTTTTATGTTATCATACCACACATTTTTCATTTTCACACTAACTGTTTTGTCTGTGGATGCGTTTAATTATAATCAGTCTTTTACTAAGATCGATCATCTCTTTTTTGTTTCTGGACATTTAACACATCAATGGACTAAAAATTACTGTTCATTTGTGTGAACATACGGCTATTGGATGTCATATATTTCCTACATATATTTACTAGCTGCTCATACACCAATCAACCTGCAACGTGCTGAGTAAATTAGTGGTCTAGCGATACGCTCATGCACACGAATAGTCAGTCTAAGCAGTTGAGGAAGCCTTCTACACACTGATAACAGCATGATCGCCACTACCCTGACACTGGTAACGGTTAGCGACTCTATTATAAACATAAGTTTGGAGTCATACTTTCAGTATTGGGAACTTATGCTCTCGCGACGCAACTAATGTTCATTTATCTCATTTGTACGCAGCAATCATTAATACGACCCATAAAGAGTCATATATATGGATACCAAATGTCGATATTCTATCAAATATACCTTCGAACCTCTTTGTTTCTGACTTCTGATTCGAATTGGTTGGCATATTCCGATTATAAAAGATGTTACTGGTTAAGACATTGTCAAACTCCGAATACTTGTGGAATCTTTAACAGGTTGTGCTAAATAATATATAATAGTAATCTAGGGTTATGAATAATAGATACCCTAGAAATATTTGCTATTTACTTGGGAGTGGAATAAGAATTGGTTTCAATATATTTCTGGATCGAAAACTGACTAATAGAATCCACATCTGTTTACTGTTACTTATGTACAACCAAAATACGAAGGTCAAAATTGTGATGGTGATCGCATAGTTTCAGCCAGAAATCTTCGCACTGGGCTTTCAGCAGCTTTAAGCAGTCTACTTCGACATTCTAAACCTCTGCCTAATTTCCTAGCTTTTTCGGAAACTAGGTTGGTTTACATTATATTTGGAATAAGAAGAATCAATAAAACATCACTCGACCTCAGCCAAATCATCTGTCATGCTGAAACATTTCTATTTCTAGGGGTTGATCAGTAGACACTGAGTTTTCTACTGAATTTTGTAACGGTCAAAGGTGATAAGCGATAATTAAATATTACGCATTATGCAACTGTAGCACCCAGCAGTTTGTCTCTCTTTACATCAAAACGAGCCACTTATGTAGTAGGATTGCGTTTTTTCTTTGAAAAACTAACCAGGACATCAGGTTTGAGAAGTTCAAGCTATGTAATTAAGGTAGTGTGACTGATGTAAGTTATTCAGTCACATCAAACCAACAAGCAGAAATGACCAAACAATTATCGTTTATAAATTATAGCCCTTTGAGCCTATTTTTGCTTTTTAATATTTCACTCATATCTTTATGTCTTAAAATTTCAATTGTGAGTTCAGCCTTCTTATCATTCAGCTTTGTCAGCAAGACGGAGCTACGATATCCTACTAGCAACAAGCGCTGGAACTTCAAACGGTTGAATGTGTTAGCTTTACAGGACTATCTTCAACAGGTGGATTGGGATGTTCGCCCTGAAATTGAAGTGGATGCTCATTGGGATTTTTTACTGCACACGATCTTATGTGCTACTGAGCATTCAGTTCCTAAAATGGTCCCAAAAAGCTACAAGCAACCTACAGTCATCAAGAACCGCACTCGTCGTTTGCTAAGCCGCAAAAGGCACTGTTGGGCTGAATATAAACGAACGGATAACAACGGCGCGTACAGGCAATACAAACATATAAGGAACACATGCACAAAGGCAATAAGAGAAGACAGGCTTCAGTTCCAGACCAAGCTTATCGATAGATTCGTCTCCAATCCGAAAAGCTTGTTCAGTTATGCAGCTTCTCTTCGACAAGGCAAAACTGGAGTTTCCCAACTGCTTGGTCCTAATGGCCCGACCAACAACGACAGTGATGCCGCTAACCTTTTGGCTGAACATTACTCCCGGACATTCCAACTGACCCACATCAACCATACTGACGAAAGCTTCACCTGCACCTGTACAGGACTTTCCGAAGTGGACCTGAGTGCTGACCTGGTGCTCCGTAAACTGCAACACCTAAAAAAGACACTTCTCCTGGTCCGGACATGGTTCATTCCGCCGTATTGAGGGAAGCAGCTTCAATCCTGGCGACACCACTTAGCGTGATGTTTGCACATTCGCTAAGCAGAGGCAAACTACCGGAAATATGGAAGCTGGCCCACATCACACCAATTTTCAAAGGAGGTCGACGCAGTGAACCCTCAAGCTACCGACCAGTGGCCCTTCTATCCATACCTTCAAAAATTATGGAATCCCTAGTATTCGACGGCATACTAGAACACTTATCATCCTCAAAGTTCTTCTCGCCTCAACATCATGGTTTCAGAAAAGGTCATTCTTGTACGACCAACCTGATGACTGCGGTGGATAAATGGACAACCATCCTTGATCGCAAGGGGAAGGTTGACGTCATTTACCTGGACTTCTCAAAAGCTTTTGATAGGGTCAACCATGCATGTCTTATCAAGAAGCTTGGACGATTGGGTATAAAACCCCCTTTAATTGACTGGATCACTTCATACCTAGAAAACCGACATTTTAAGGTCAGGGTTAACTTCACTCTCTCTCAGGCTATGGAATGTCCTAGTGGGGTCCCCCAGGGTTCAATACTAGGACCTCTTCTCTTCTTGATTTATATTAACGATCTTCCTCAACAAGTTTCATCTGATTTATTGCTTTTTGCTGATGATGTGAAACTTTGGAGAGAGATACGTACTCACAATGATATACTAGTTCTGCAGGAGGATCTGACTCGACTTCAAAGTTGGGCAGACGACAACGGACTTACCTTCAACACTTCAAAGTGCAAGGTAGTCCATCTGAGACATGTTGCAGATTATAGTTATAACTTAGGTAACTCACCTCTAGAAGTTTCCCAAGTTGAAAAAGATTTAGGAGTGTTGGTACCCTACGACCTGAAATCGTATGCGAACTGTGACAAAAACGCCTCTCAAGCAAACCTTGCACTGGTAACATTGAAGCGCATTTTTGGCCAGTTTGACGGTAGAACCTTCCACATAATCTTCAACAGTTTTATTCGTCCCCACTTAGAGTACGGAAACATAGTATTTCCTCCCTCCCTCCAAAAGGATAAGGTCACTCTGGAACTTATACAACGTCGAGCCACGAAATCAGTTCGGGGTCTCAAATTCAAACCTTATGAGGAGCGCCTCAAATCACTTAACCTTTACCCGTTAGAGTATAGGCGTCTTAGAGGTGATCTTCTTATGACTTATAGTATCCTTAATACTTCTGGTCATCCCCTTAAACAACTTCTTAAGCTTAGTCATAACACTAACCTGAGAGGTAACACCCAGAAATTGGATACCCTACATAGCAGAACAGACTGCAGACACAACTTCTACTCCGTTAGAGTTGTCAAGTGCTGGAATTCGCTGCCGACTGAGCTAGTCCAAGCGACCTCCCAGGAGTCCTTTAAGAGAAAACTTGACTTATTCTTAAGGACTAAGGATAACATATTATTATGATTTACCAAATTCTTTTTTTCCCTCTATTATCGTTCAACTACCTAGGTTCTTGCCTGGAGGTATTGGTGATCCACTGCTACTAGACACGGAAGCCCGTTAAGCGAAAGCTTCTTCTATTCCGTCCTCAACCATTTGAACCATTTGAACCATTTCTCAAGGGCGAATAGTGGCCTTGTCACAAGGTGAAAACAACCGGTTCTTGTAAGCGGCAACGAAGATGTCGACATTTGACAGAAAAGCAGAATTAGAGATGAAGAAAGCGAAACTAGCTATCCTTAGAGAAAACAAAATAAAAAGAGATAAGGTGAAGGTTGAGGGGACAAATGGGGGAACTCAAGATAATCTCAATAATTATGGTTCGACCCAAGGTCTTCGGATTGAAACTGAGGAGTTATTAAGAACTCTTGGGATTCCTGTTTCGGATGAGCCGTTGCCTCAAGTTTCAGAAGATCGTATTCTTGCTAAAGGAACTTCAGATTCACTACAGTGAGCTTAAATTCTATTTCTACTATTCTTTAAGTACGAAAACTGACAGCCAGAAAAAACGCAAAAGGTTGGGGTTTTCTCAAATAAACGAAATCAATGTTCCCCCCAAAGAAAACATATCTTATTCTAAAATCACTCAAACATTTGAGTCTTATGTTCCACAGCATGGTATGTATCTTTTGTTACATTGTCTCACTACTTAGTTACCAGTGGCGTTCGTACTGGTAAGTTATTCGCTAGGGCAACTTTATCATAGATTCTCCACGTGAGGTCATAGGTTCCCCAAAGTTCATGACTCATTTAGAATGGGATGATGAATTTTCTACCGGTAAGTCGATAATTTTCATTTATATATTATATATATCGTGTGCCTTCGGTTTACTTGAGATAAGCACCTTTGTCACCAGTGTGTCTTACAGGTTCTTTATATCAGTGTTACTCTTTCTGTGTGAATGTGTACGCACTATGGACTTACAGCACTTTTGACGCTTCCCTTCTTTGCTATGATATTTATGTATGTCCTTCAAGCAATTTTTTAAATATCAACTTGTTGTGTTAGAAAAATTACGTAAAGTTTATTATCTTTTCGTCAATTTCAATTAAATTTGTTTCGGCAGCATGCTTTTAGTATTTTTTTTCTTTACTCTAGTTCTGCCTTTCGATGAATCGGTAAATGAGACTTTTGATATGTCTGCTGTAATCAATGAAATACACAAAATGCCACTCGTTAGTTCGATTGATGCTGCGAAAACTCCTGCAGATACAGAACGAGAGAACGAACATTTTAGGGCTCTAAAAGGTTAGTATTTTAAGATAAGAGTTTTTGAGTGTGACTGGTTTCGAATAAAGGATTTGTATAAATTTATTGTTTCCTGATTCTCATTAAAAGTATTTGCCATTATTTTTATTATTCAGTGAAAAAATAATCAGATATCAAAATAGCTGACAGCAAATAAGTCGTGTTAGCTAGGGTGACGTTAAGTTAAATTTAAAGACTAGTTTTATCGCTCTTGATGAGGGATAAGTATCAATTCCTATCACCCAATTTATACCAGTAAAAAGCGCACTGCAAAATTTTCCATTCAGAGTTAATTAAATCATATCCGCTTGTTGTGGCTTACTGAAAATATCAGGCACAACTCACGCTCAGTAGAGAATATGTTAGTTGTCGCAAACTACGAGAAATATAGAAATAGTAGTAACATGTTTAAAGAACTGCAAAAAATCCAAAGCATCAAGTAATAACAAAATAGAATAGTGTGTAGTAATTATGTCTATTATTCTCAAGAAGATGGGTTATAGATTGTATATTAAGTGATCAACTGAATAAGATTCTGAAACGAGTTCGTTAATGATTAATATAAAAAGGCAGTGCAAGGAGTTTTGAATTCCTCTGTTATTTTTAGCAATGTATGGATCCAAACTTCGAAAAATAGGGTTTCTTTGACACATTATATACTATTAATAATTCAGAATGGTTACATTATCAATCTATTGTGTATTGCGACTGCACTTGATCAGGGCTTCAAATGTGTTCGAGACCGGGTAAAATATCGAGATTCATGTTTTGTAACTTTTTCGTATTACGGTTTGGATATGAATGGCTAAATTTATTTGTTTATTTGATAAGGCGAGCCTTAAGATGCTTCATTTTTAGGATGTGGTTCTTTCCCTTAATTCTTAGAAAATATAGTTTACGCAACTTTTAAACAGAAATGTACTTGATGCACGAGTTTCGCGGCTAAACCACATGATTATTGTTGCATTTTTGATGTTTCTCGTAACATAACTTATTGACTCAGTAATTGTTAAACCTATAAAAAATGTGCAGGTATCTAAGGGAAAATCCGAATTTTGCTTTAGCTATTTGATCGGATTAAACCTACGAGTTGTGATTAAAGTCTTAGGGTACTACTTTTAAGTGTTCCTACTTCCCTGAAATCCATCGAGATCAACTTATCGACATTCCTATGTACCAATCTTTACCGCATGAAGGAATCCTTTTACAAAGTGGAGAGACAAATTTGAGAACATCTGTTTTGTGTTCATCATAACCCACTGATAAAGTTCTAATTACTGGGTAATTCAACTGCTTTAGTTATCAGACATTTTATTAATTAGAGCATAGAGTGTTCTAAAAAGTTGAATATTTTCTGAAAATCAGGTTCAGACAAGTACTTATTCGTAGTATAACTACAAAATTACTCAGAGACTAATCATATTGCAAAAATGATAGTAAAACGATGTTAGAAAGAGCTAAGTTTCTTAATGCTGCAAACAAATAGTAATTAAAGGCTTTCTAGAGTTATGATAATATGTTTACAAAAAACTTTTCCGTGTTAAAGTTTTCGGACTGATTAAATAACTAAACGTATCAGTCGTAAATATTTACTATATTTCAGATCGAGAATGCTTTCAATCCATATACTTGAGTTTCATTAACTTGTTAGCTTGAATACACGAGACCGAATAAAAGTTTGTTAAAAATCATAAAGCTTGTAACTGAACTTCGTTGAATCAGATTAGTAAACCTTCGTAACGTGTATTTGGTATCTTGGATGGCAGTGATTCAGATATATCTTTTATACTGCCCAAGATATGTTGGAATATTCGTGTTATTCCGTTGTACTATCTAAACTTGGATTAATTTTGATCTGGTTATTTATCATCTGAAGAAATGGTTTACATTGAGTCACGAAACGTCAGAAAATCTAATTTTTCTATTCATTGGGATATTACAAAAATATTATTTATTTATAAAAAAATGAAAAGTTTTTGGAGAGTTTTTACTTTGCTTGTTTCATGAAGTTGACCAAAAGTAATTAAAATAATTCATATTGCGAAAAAATAATAGGTTGCGATTGGATTTACTTCCACATTTTATTCAAGCTCTACAGAATTGTGCTGATCATTATTTTCGCTTACAATTATAGCACATTAGTAGTGCATCTAGTAAAGTTCGCTAGCGGATGTATGGCCATCTCCAACTATGTTTTTGATGGAAATCAATAAAAGAAATTTTACCTAGCCTGTACTTTGATTTAAAGGGATTCAATTGGAAAAATTATTTTAATAATAATGTAGTTTCTCATATACAGGTCGTAGCTATTTCTGTATTATTTATTTATTTAAACACAAATATTGGTACAATGTGGCACCAGATATATACGCGCCGCACAAATTTCATTTGGTTTGTGTGAGCGCTGTGGTACTTCCCGGGTTCCCAAACCGAAGCACGTGCCTTTCTCAGGGAGCCACTATCCGAGCCTTTGACCTGAAGGTCTAATCCACAAGGCAGCTGAATGACGTAAGGAGATGCAGTCCCATGGTATCCGGTGACCGACAATTGATTCATGCGCTATTTCTTTCCTTAGGATCCTGAAGCCCATGTGGAACATTGATTTGAAATCAAGGTTTTCCAACTTCTCTAGGTAAATCCTCCGTATCCACTAACCGGACATTCGCTTTTGGCGCTGTCAATTTCGTAAACAACAGTAATGCCTCGGAAAGTCAGTGAGTAGGAATTCTGCGGCAGTGGTTGTATGCACGTGGCCATGTAAAAGCATTTCGAGAGGGAGAGCAGACTCTACCCACTCTCGTCCGTACCAGGGCACTATCAATAATGAAACTATTCATATGAATTTGGTAGTTTTCCAATTCTTTAAGAAAACTCATAGTTTTCGTATATGACTAGATTTCTTGATATTTTCTCACCAAATATATCTATAAAACTATCCACATTCTATTCTATTCCATTCGTGGTTTGTACAGTAATACAACTCACAGACGAAGAAAGAGATGGAATTATGAGATCAGATAGATTTCATCGTTTCTTTGACAGAGCATCACGACTGATAGAACGAGTATTAGATGAACCTTCAGACATGTTTATTGATTATAGTGGTGGAGATCATGATGATACCGGGTAAGTGTAGTTTCATTTTTCCTTTAACAATCAAAGGTATTAACCTTTTACTCTTTTCACTTGCAATTTAACGGGTTTTAACTAGGTATTTGATATTCTTATCATTTATGTCTCGTGTGCATTATTTACGTGTAAGTGTATTCATATTAATAGAACAAGTAAATAATAGTTAAGTTTCTAAGATTTTCTAAGTGTTATCGTTTATTTAAAATGTCTTCAATGATTCTCTTGATGTTGAAAGACCAACCCCAGATTTTATCCGTATGTAATAATCAGATCAACAAATAACTGACACATGATTAAGTGTTTCACTTTTCTATGCAAAGTTTTCTACTAAATACTAGTGTAAGTAATCCGGGCCACAATCAGTATCAAAATGAAAGTATATATAATATGTGTGTGTGCATTCTAAAACTAGCTAAGACAAATTATTTATAAAATTATATTCAGTTTACTGTGTGTGAATTGTATATCACAGTTATGTTTTATTTTGTCGCATAATTTTACATAACAAGGTAATTTTTTCCACCAATCGTTTGTAAATCTTCCTACTGATAATGACTCAAATTGTAGGCATAAAAAGTGTAGTAATTGACTAGATTTTTGTCAAGCAATATTATATTGTTTATCTGTCATAAAATATCTATATTAATGGGGATACCTTGATTGTATACAGATTCTGTGGACAATACTACAAAAGCGGTGTTTAGTATCGGAATGAAGAGTCCTTGTGTGGTTTCTCTTTATATACTGGGTTTCTTTGTGTCTGAAATTGTTTGGAGATGAGCTTGGATATGATATTTTATTATTTTATCTCTTGAAACATCTTAGATTTAATTAAACAAGTTTGTAAGCAAAGATTTTTTGTGCTGAGTGTTTATTTGATTTGTTAAATGTTGTCATTCGGATGTGAATAATCTTTAATATTTGTAAACGCTTTGGAAGCAGGGTTTGTTTGAGATGAATAGTATTTTCAGTAAATATCGTCATTTCATTTTGTTTGTGTTGGTTTTTGTTCTGGTTGAGGATGTATTGATCATATCTTCACCCTCCGCTAAATTTTAGAACACTGTCATACTTATCACAGGCCAACGATCGTAGTGTTTCTTAACATCGGGGCTGTCTTCGATTCGTTGGACAGGAATGTTCTCTGGGATTGTCTGTTGAAGAAGGGTGTGCCTGAAAAGTTCATTAACATCTTAAAGGCCCTGTATACAAGCAGAGTGAGGGCATACAACCACCTTTCTCCATTGTTCCATTCGAGCAGTGGGGTTAGACAGGGTTGCCCAATCTCACCATTCCTCTTCAACTTTGCCATCGACAACATCCTGGAAACAGCTCTGATGGATGTAAGTAATGGCGGTGTGGATATGTTGCCTGGAGAACGACTTTTCGACCTTGAGTATGCGGATGATATTGTCTTACTGTGCGATGATGCCCAAGGCATGCAATCCGCACTTAATCAGTTGGCAATCAGTGTCCACAGGTTGAAACATCGACTTCTGTGGCTTGAACTTGTACTATGAATGTCGTCCCAGAGAATTCCTCGTCTTGCATTATTTGCCGACTCTGGGACTGGTTTTAAAAAGCGAAGAGGTGGTCAGTGTATGACATGGTGTCGTGGTATGAAGGAAAACTGCAAATGGCTGGCTCCTGTTGGTCTTTCCCGACTCCCTGGTTGGGATCCGAGAGGTGGTGCAACACAGTGGCTAGAGACGTTATCAGATATGGCTCAGAATAGAAGCCAGTGGCGATCCTGCCATAGCCTTCTTTTACTTTCTACATAAAGAATGGTTCTAACTTTCCTAACTGAAAGAGTCTTCTGGTTGTACACTTCTGTTTCCCCCGTTATTATTTTTATTATTACACTAACGTACACTAATCTGTGGTTGTTATTGTTCTTTTTTTTCCTATATGCACCTTACCCCCTTTTTCTCTCCCCATTTTCATTGTTTTGTGTGGCGCATATATATCTGGCGCCCCCTTGTACCAGTATTTGTGTGTTCAAATAAATAAATTGTTGGGGATACTGAGTCCACAAATACATCATATTAGAAAGAAATCAATTTTAAAATTCACGTATTCATTTAAAATAAATTTATCTGACAGGCTTTCAGGGAATTTCCATTGGAAATGGGTTTATAGTAAAATATTAGTTAGATCAGAACATTAAATTATTTCATAAAGTGTTTCATTATTGGTCAGGATAATGGAAATAAGGTGTAATTTAGCTCTCTCCCTTTATGTCCAGGCTCCTGCGTTAGGTTATGAGCAATATACTCATTAACTGTAGTATACAACAAAAATACCATGCCGGTAAGAATCTGGGTAGTGAAGGTAAGATTTTGAAATTCGAATCTTACATAACGGGTTACAAGATACTAAATATTGATAATCAAACCTAATCACGCTTGATTTCCCCGTATTATCATAAATCCTCTGCTTTTTGCAATCTATCCTATCTTTAGTGTTTGGTATTAAGTGGTGAAGTTAATGAGTGTTGTTATTGTTGATATCTGCAGCTGCAGGTGTATAGTTTTGGCTTTGAGTTCAATTTACAGGTGAACTATTTCTACTCAAGTTATTGCTAGATTGGCTGAGTAAACGTTGTAGTAGCTGAAAGCCGTTCTATTACCATTGTCATTAATTACGGTCTAATGATCTAAGGTTTTGACTTTAAGTCATCGCATCATGTGTTTAAAATCCACTCTGGGTAGCACGTTTTGGACATCCGACTAGTATTGTTTGTCTTCACGGAATAAGTGTTGCTTATATTTTAAGGTATCCATTGCCATATGGTTGTATTTATCTTTTGTTTCATTTGATAATAAGTGTTTATTTCATTTTTGAATTTCTTATAGAAATACCCAACGTCATCAACTTGTAAGGTTTGGTCGTGACTTTTTCGATGATCGATGGTCAAGGAGACGCCTAGTTACAGCATTAGATTGGTCACCAATTTTTCCTGAGTTACTTCTTGGTGCTTATCATGCAAATGATGAAGCTCCGCATGATCCTGATGGGGTGTGTTTAGTGTGGAACTTAAAATTTCAGAAAACAACTCCAGAGTATATTTTTCATTGCCAGTCTGCTGTTACTTCAGCAACCTTTGCAACTTATCATCCAAATTTGATTATTGGTGGGACATATTCCGGACAAATTGTATTGTGGGATAATAGGTATCTGAACGATTTTTTGTTTGTTTGGTTGTTGTTACGTCCTAATAGACTTTTTTTGTTTGCTAGCATTATCAAGTCATGCTTTATATTTTCTGGCTTTTTTATAATGGTCAGCTACTCATTAACCGTTTATGTATGGTTGCAATTATTTCGCGCAAACTGACAGATGTTATTATTTAGAGTGCGACTGATATGTTTTATGACCCAGAAAATCATATACTCTGTATAGGTCCTTTTCGAACACAAACATAAGAACAGCTTCTTCCTTGGATTATGGAACGATCATTTTTTCCATACACTTGTAATTAATCTAGTTACTGTGAAAGAGCTAACGGTTTCATATATATCCTCATTTTATGTAGGGACTTGCAATGAGACTTATTTAAACCCATGCTTGTTGTACAGATAAAATTTGTCAGATAGCCCACCGATACTGACTGTTCTAAGTTGTGCAAAGCTTCAGATGACCCAAGATGTGAGACCTGATTAAAAAAACCTATTTTTCAAACGAATGATTGTGCTCATCGCTTAGATAATTGACTTATTCAAGTCCCAAACTAGCACGACACCATGAGTCGTCATTGTTTTGTTAAGGGAATTTAATTGGTAGTAGGATTAAGTATACTTCACTAGATTAAGTCAACCAGAAAGCATAGTTTCCCACGCCGGTTATTTTTTACTTCGATTGAAACCTGAAATGTAACGTGTAAATCCATGTCCGCTACTAGTCTTTGACGGATGGTGTGAGTTTGAATCCCGTTGAGTATGGTGTACAGTGTTTCAGTTTGGCCGTCGAAGCTAATAGTGTCCAATGTATGTTTTCACAGTTACTTCTATCCGTATTCAGTTTCATGATTAGATGGTATTAATACTTAACGTCATGCGTTCTTGTATGATAGAGACATTTATTTGATAAATGTTATTGTGCTACAACACTACTATTTCGGATATTTTTAAACTTGACACATAGAACAAAAAAGGAGAACCAACCTTCCCATATTCTCCTATTTTTATTATAATTTGACGCATATACAAATAAGTTATTGTTTCATTTCAATGTTACATCTATTTGAACTTGGTTGGAAGTAAATTTTCACATTTGGTATTGAGTAGACATCAAGAGCAATAGAATATTTCGTCGTGTAAATGAACCTTTTCTGTAGTTCAAATTGTTACTACCACTGTATAGATACTTGAGAGCTTGTGTAGATTTTAATTTCTGCACTACAAATTTACTTACAGTTGGTGTACAGCTATGTAATCCTATGAATCTTGTAAATCAGTTTATGTTTTGCCTTGTAACTCTAAATTGTTAGAGGTCTTATTAAGTGGAGAAAATCTCATCATCACTTTATAGTCATTATCAGTTTTTGTTATTCAGTGTTATATTATACACAGATTTCGTTTCTCCTAATTGATGTTTTAGATCAACCAAGCGAACACCAGTACAACGGACACCATTATCAGCAAGTGCACATACACATCCAGTTCATGCAGTTATGATTGCAGGATCATTGAATGCACACAATTTGTTAAGTATAAGTTCTGATGGAAAATTATGTACATGGAGTTTAGATATGCTGGGTCAACCTCAACAAGCCATGGAATTAACGCATAGGCAAGCTCGTACTGTAGCTGCAACATGCATGTCATTCGTAGATGAGAATGTTAACAATTTTTTAGTTGGATCGGAAGATGGACGAGCTTATGCTGGTTCACGTCATGGAAAGTAATTTAGAGCTTTTTTTTACAATTTTTATGGATTATTAAAAAGGAAATACAGATTAAAATTGAAACTCACTCGTAGCTTTTACTCGTAACTAAAATTCATGGACGCTATATTATACCCTTACTTTTTTTCTATCATTGAGAACTTACAAAATATATCTCACTGCAGATTTAAACTTCTATTTGACCAACTCAAGCAGTTAATATGCTGAACTAAATTGGAATCTGGTGTATGCAATTTATCTCCTTGTAGTTAGTTGATTTGTCATCATGGTTTATCTCATAACCTGTTATCCACAGAGTACATTTTTAACAATTAAAATTTCATAGTTGAATTCCTGAGTCAATTGAAGCTAGACCACCAGGAAAAACCTGAAAGCACTGAACGACCGTTTTGTCCTATTGTGGGACTCCTCATCAGCGCGCATCCACGGTCCCGCCTCACGAGATTCGGACCCAGGACCTACCAGTCTCGTGCGCAATCGCTTAACCTCTAGACCACTGAGCTGGCCGGCATCCAACGGTGTTAATGTCTAACTCCAACCAATCTACGAAATTGAGGAACCGTCCACCATTGTCTTCAGCGAGTTACTATCTCACAACAGACCTGGTTAAACTCCACTGGTCACTGCTTCTCACTAGAATTGACAGGTCCTGGGTTCGAATCTCGCGAAGCGGGATCGTGAATGCGCATTGATGAGGAGTCCCACAATTGGACGAAACGGTCGTCCAATGTTTCCAGGTTTTCCATAGTGGTCTAGCTTTAATTAACTCATGAATTCAACTATAAAATTTTAACAAAACGAAACAAAATAATCAGTTAATCCCCGTTGATATCAAAGATACTTGCTTCATCAAGTGGATTGATATCTGTATTACGAAATTAGCTAGTTTCGGTCATTAAATAGATTGTTATAATGCGTAAAAAGTAGTCATGAAAATAATAACATGGTATTTATCTCCAAGTTCATCCGTTTAAATTCCTTTTCTTCCTAATAGCGTATGAAGAGAAAATCAACAATGACAGAGTAACAATAAAATGAAAAAGAATATGATTAGTGTTGTTTGATTAATTGGTTAGCAAACAAATAACCCAGACTTGGACAAAGATAAGCAATGAACTCGCCCGTACCATTTTAATAGACTTCATGTTATTTCGTCTAAAATCTCCAACCACTAATTTTTAATTTCCCTAGAGCCTCATACAAAAGGCCTATATGACTTACAAGAAGCTTATGACTTCATGAATTGTTGTCTCTTCTTAATCTGGTCTCCTATATCTTTTTATCAGTTTTATCTTAATTTCATTTAATATTGTGTTTTTTACCTAATAATATGTTAATTAATTCGTATTTTTGGACGCTTTATATTGTTTGGTCCATAATTAAATGTATTTTTTACTGACTCTATTGGTGTAATGACCAGTCATTGTAATCTGGGCACAATTTAAGCATCAGTTTATTAAGATGATGACCTAGGATTATTCACCTCTGATATATATAATCTGAATGAAATTACTAGATAAAAAGTATTTATAAGTGCATTTTGAGCAGATATGCTTTTTGTTTTAGAACTTTATAAAGCAAATATACATCACAGCAAAAGGAAGAATGTTTTTAGTCTGTTGCCAGGTAATAATACGGCTGTATGTGTGTTAGTAGGGAAGTAGAAGGATTAAAATAAAGTACAAAACATAAAAGTGATGAAATTTGTAACTTGTTAGTCAGTCTCTAATTTTCAGATGGAAAGAGTAATCAAAGATTTAAAGTTTATTTGGTTTTGTTGTGGATTAACTTTTAGTGTAGACTTTCTGGTTTAGATGTAGTGAAGTTGTCTGCAATGATTCATACGAAACAATTACTTTACTTCATCCATTTTTGTGTTAGTTGGTAGATTGAACATTGTGTTTTAGAAAGTTTGGAGGCGAGACTAAAATTTCTGGGCGAGCCAATTAGACTTAGGATTACAGCTCTTGGATTTTGGCTCGAAATTCGTTCATCCATTTGGCTAAATAACGTTTCGGCATTTTAGCTTACGTCGGTTCGTGATGTAAACCCTAAATCTAATCCCTAACCCTAACCACCAACCGTAAATCATAATTGTAATTCCATACACTGGTTTATAACCCCTAGTTAGTAGGTGGGCATTCTCAGGCTCACTTTAGCGTCACTCAAAGGTCGTCCATAAATTATAGTCTCATCGATACGTTTATCCTCTATAATTTACCTAATAGTCTCCATCCATATTTGCAGAAGGAATGGTCAAGATTGAGACAATTAATTGATAGTTTGCAAATTAACTGTTTACTGTATGGTTGCCAGATTTTAGTGAGATAGTCTTTAATTTTCGTATCAAATGCATTCGATTGTCCCCACTCATGTTCTTGTTCGCTACACTATGAAGGCTGTTATTGTTCAGTTCCTTAAGTCAGATGGTGTATAAATGACATAATTCCCTAAACTCCCGCTAGAGACAAATATTCTCTAGTTTTATGGCATAATTTTATTTTCTCAGACTTAGAGTTTTAGTGTTTTGAGAATCTTGAAAGTAGCGGCATTGAAAATAACTTATAGTTTTCCTGTAAATCATACCTAAGTTGCCAATTAGATTAACCACAATTTTTATTATCTAGATGCGTATCTATTTATTTATTTGAACACAAAAATTCGTACAAGGGGACACCAAATAGATGTACGTCACACAATGACAATGAAGCCAGTAGCAGCTATCATTGATATGTGTGAGGGCTGTGATACTTCCCGGGTTCCCAAACCGAAGCACGTGCCTTTCTCAGGGAGCCACTATCCGAGCCTTTGACCTGAAGGTCTAATCCACAAGGCAGCTGAATGACGTAAGGAGATGCAGTCCCATGGTATCCGGTGACCGACAATTGATTCATACGCTATTTCTTTCCTTAGGATCCTGAAGCCCATGTGGAACATTGATTTGAAATCAAGGTTTTCCAACTTCTCTAGGTAAATCCTCCGTATCCACTAACCGGACATTCGCTTTTGGCGCTGTCAATTTCGTAAACAACAGTAATGCCTCGGAAAGTCAGTGAGTAGGAATTCTGCGGCAGTGGTTGTATGCACGTGGCCTTGTGAGAGCATTTGGAGAGAGAAAGAGCTGACTCTCTTTACCCTCAACCATACAAGGGCATTTGGAGACATTTTTTAGTAATTAGAATTTATGATCATAAATACAGTATGGATTATATATTATACATTTTGTGAATCTGCGTTGTTGATACCTTGTGTCTTTTTTTAGTCAAGCAGGTATCAGTGATGCATTTGAAGGTCATCAGGCTCCTATCACATCGATTTCGTCTCATCCACTCAGAGATTCTGTGGCAATTTCACCACTGTTTCTTACTACTTCTCTTGATTGGTCCGTAAAACTGTGGTCTGTTAAAGAAACTCGTCTTATATGCTCATTTGAAGAAGCTTCAGATTATGTTTTCGATGCTCATTGGTCGCCGATACATCCAGCTGTATTTGCAACTGTCGATTGTACAGGACGCCTTGATTTATGGAATTTAAACCAAAACAGTGAAGTAAGTTTTCGATGTTATTTTCTAGGTATTTTCATTTCTTGAACTATTCTTAAAACTATTATTACTTTAAACAAACTAATTCTTTCCCGGTGTTATCTTTCCAAAAACTAAATAGTTAATTAAGGTAATCAATCCGTATCTTTGTTTCAATTTATTAAGCCATTCGTTCTTTTCGGCTATAAAGTAGTATTAATGAAGTAATTTAAAAATTACTTATATCAAGTGGTACGTATTCGGGATTTCCTGGAAATCATAGTGAATAAGATTTTTAATAAATTCATTCCAAACCGTTGCTGCTACCTTGAAGTGGTGGTCGGACTTGCCTATCGTGATGAACCAATCGAGCTATATTGGCTGGAACAATCGTTCCTCAAGGTCCTACCATGCCAGACAGGTCGGTTGAAGAGCAGTAAGACTAAAAGCAGCAATCCCAAGGTCCGAAGGTGAAGTCGTACTGCTGACTGTACAAAGGTGTGATGACAGTGAGGTGTTCCCTTCAGAAAACCAGCATAACAGCGATGCTGCCTTCCCACAAGGAGGGGTGGGGTTAGAAAATGTCGACCCTAAAAATGCACACCTCGCCTTATCTCACGGATATCCGTCTCCGGCGGTGAGGTCCTTTGAAGAACGGAGCTAACACGTCAAAAATCCCCCACAAAAAGGTCGTGTGTGACCGACCTCAAGCAGTTGTCCCATCTTCTAACTTTTTTGAGAAGCTCTGTTGAGTGGATATGATTTAAAGTTAGCCAAACTAAGATATTTTCTCCATTCATTACTACATTGATGTAAGTTTTTTTAATGGAGATTCCAGTGTCTAAATAAGGTTCACATAACAGGTTTAATTGATGGTTAAAGACTTTGTCAGTATGTCAGTATTTATTGAAAATGGTCTACATATTGTTTATTAATTATGAAACTTAGTAATTACTTCGCCTGTAGCTCTTCTAGGGCTACTGCCAGTCCCGAGCCCACACAAAGGAGGAGTGTTTGGTGTGTGGTCGACAACCCCATCCCGTAGAAAACAACATTGATAAAAAAACGTCACCCAGATTAAACAAATTAAACCAGTTAAACTCTACCCTGCAAGTTAAAGGAAGAATTATGACGTCTCATGATGAAAGCCGAGATTCTTCGGAAGTCACGAAGGTGATGTCCCTTCTAACAACAAGAGCAACGACTGATATAAGCACATGGAATATCCGGACAATATGGGAGACTGGAAGCATGATGCAAATAGCCACGGAAATGAGAAGATACAATTTGGCAGTACTCGGAATCAGCGAAACCCAACCTGGACAGCAAAGGTTAGATATGGGAGAGATGCTACTGTACTGCAGTCACAAAGAGAGAACTGCTCCACACATTGAGGGAGTTGCTCTAATGCTGTCCAGAGAAGCACGAAATGCACTCAAGATGGGAATCTCATGGATCAAGGATAATCAAGGCATCATTCAAAACAAACAAGGAGGCAATCACAATAAATGTTATTCAACGTTATGCACACATAATGATAGCAATGACGAAAATAATGATCAGTTCTATGAGAGGCTGCAGTCGATCATAGCAATATGTCCAAGAAAGGACCTGACTATCTTAATGGAGGATCTAAATTTCAAAGTCGGAATGGGCAACACCGAATATGAAGATATCGTGGGTTGACATGGACTGATTGGGAGAAAAGAAACGATAATGTTAAGAGACTTGAAAATTTATGTGGATTCAACAAATTGGTTATAGGCAGTACAATATTTCCACACAAACGCATACACAAGGCTACATGGATCTCACCGGACCACGCCACAGAGAACAAGATAGATTATGTTTGTATCACTAAAAAATTCCGAAGGACGATGGAAGACGTGAGAGGAGCTGATATAGATTTAGATCGACAGCTGGCTGTGGTCAAAACGAAACTGAAGATAAAGAAACACTGGACATCTGGAGTAACAACATTACAAAAATTCAATACAAACTCCCTTCCAGATACCGACAAAATCAACCAATCCAAGATATCTCTCAACAACTGGTTCCAAGCATTACAAGACCCACTGGAAGAAGATGAAACTACTATAGAGGACAACTGGAAAGGGATCAAAGAAGCACTAACTTCAAAGTTTCAGAAGGTCCTTGGCCGCAAGAAGCATCATCATAAGAAATGGATCTTTATCGAAACCCTGAACAAGATTCAAAAAGGAAGAACAAGAAGGCAGAAATTAACAACAACCAAACGAGAGCAGAGAAAGTCTCGGCACAAACTGAATACAGAGAAGCAAACATGCAAGTGAAGAGGGGCATTAGAAGAGACAAGCAGAAATGTGTGGAAGAGCTATCAACGAAAGCAGAAAAAGCTCCAGGAGAAGGAAATATGCAATAACTATATGACAACGAAGAAACTGGTAGGGAAATATTGTAAACTAGAGCAACCAGTTAGGAACAGACGCTTGGGACACTTCGAGTAACTCTTAAATAGACCAGCTCCATTGAATCCACCGGATATCAAAGCAGCACTCAAAGACCTTCCTATAGATATCACCCCACCAACGACGGAAGAAATCAAGATGGCCGGCTACCAAGTAAATCAGGAGTAAAAAAGCAGCAGAACCTGACAATGTACCCAACGAAGTACTAAAGTCAGACATTGAAGTACCTGAAAACATGCTTCACTTATTCAACAATATTTGGGGAGAGGAACAAGTGCCAACAGACTGGAAAGAAGGACACCTCATCGGGATACCAAAGAAAGGAGATCTGAGCAAATGTGACAACTAACAGCAGAGGCATCACACTACTGTCAGTACCAGGAAACGTTTTCGACAGAGTGTTGCTGAACCGGATGAAAGACTCAGTAGACGCCCAACTTTGAGATCAACAGGTTGAATTCTGAAAGGATCGGTTGTGCAAAGACTAAATCGCAACACTACGGATCATTGTTGAACAATCAATTGAATGGAATTTGTCACTATACATCAACTTCATCAATTATGAGAAAGCATTTGACAATGTGGATAGGGGAACATTACGGAAACTTCCTTGATAATATAGTGTACCTGAGATAATCGTCTACATCATATGGAATTCATACGACGGACTACAGTGCGAAGTAGTACACGGAGCACAGCTGACTGATGCATTTCAAGTAAGGATTAGAGTCAGATAAGTATGCCTACTCTCTCACTTTCTCTTTCTTCTGGTGGCTGACTGGATTATGAAAACCTCGACATCTGGCAGGAAGCACGGGATAAAATGAACAGGTTGGATGCAACTAGATGATTGGGACTTCGTAGATCACATACACATCAACAAACGCAGATGAATACAAACAGTGTAGCAGCAGCCTTCGCATCAGTAGACATACACAAAGGAAGAAGTAAGATCCTCAATTACAACACAGAGAACACCAACGCAATCACACTTGATATATAAACCCTGGAAGAGGTGGGGACTTTCACGTATCTGGACAGTATCATCGATGAACGTAGAAGATCTGATGCAGACGTAAAAACGTAGATGGGCAAATCAGGTCCAGGATTCCTACAGTTGAAGAACATATGGAACTCAAAGCAACCGTCGGCCAATATCAAAGTGGGAATCGTCAATACGAACCTCAAGACAGTCCTACTGTACGGAGCTGAAAATTTGAGAACTATTACAACCATCTTCAAGAAGGTACAAGTATTTATATACAGTTGTCTTCGCAAAATACTCAACATTCACTTGCCGGGTACCATCAGCAACAGGCTACTGTGGGAAAGAACAAATCAGCTTTCATTTCAGGAGAAAATTAGTAAAAGACGATAGAAGTGGATAGGATACACATTGAGGGAATGATCAAACTGCTTCACTAGCCAAACACTAACTTTGAATCCTGAAGGGAGACGGAAAGGAGGAAGACCAGAGAACACACTGTGTGGAGAATTGTAAGCAGACATAAAAAGGATGAATAACAACTGTAAGTAATTTAGTAGTTGCTGATAGGAGTATTGATACTAGACTATATGATTATATAGTCGTTGCTGTTATTATTACTTAGTGACTGATTATTTTTTTAACCTTATTGTGAATATTTTGGTTTTGATTCTGGCTATCTGAATCGATAAACTATCATTTCAGTTCTGTTTGTATGTAGACTAATTTTTATTGCTTATTAAATATGGTAATTTAAGATTCAATTCCATAACAATAAACATATGCTGTTTCATTTGTGTAATATTCATTGCTCACAGTCTACATTGTATCATCACTACCAACAATATAGATGATAATTAGGCATAGTTTCAGTCATATTGAGAAGTAATTAATTAGTCATTTCAGTATTTGATTACGATTGTCAGTAAAAGGTAGTGTAATAATATGGAAATTGTAAGGATGTGAAGCTAAATAAAAGAGTTGTGCCAAAATATTACAATGACATATATATATATATATATATATATATATATATATATATATATATATATATATATATATATATATATATACTAAACATTTCGAAAAAAAGCAGTAGAAATGTCGGCTTATTCCTGTAGGTGTTAGAGTAATAGATTATTGAATTTTGATATTAGTTGGGTGGTTAGGCAGTGGAATTTATCAAATCAAGTTTATCGAAATCAGTGTATTGAAAAAAACAGTGTAATTTAAACGATAACGTAATCAAATAAAAGGCAAGTTACAACAACAAAACTAATTACGTAGTAATAATTTATTCCATAAGTTTAGTGTCTTCAGTACGCTGTAGAAGACTTATGCTTTTTGTTTGTCAATTAGGACCATTACATTTTTGTGTTGATCAAACATTAGACAGACTATTGTAAGTGATTGATCAACCAACACATCACAAAATCAAAGAAACGTGTTTAGGTTATTCAAGAATTGTATTTTTCTTTCTTTGTTCTTTTGACGTGGTTACTTTGGCAGGTACATGTGGTTGAGAAGAGAGATATCTCTGGATTTTCTAACCTTTAGTTAAAACAGTGTATTGATGCATTTTTTATAGATGGTAAATGTAGACTTTATTTAGGAATTTCGGAATGCAGTATTTGGGATTTTTTTAACATAGCTGATACGAAAAGTCGGAACATTGAGGAAGAATCCTGCATTTATCTATTCACTACTTGTAATTCTGGTCACAAATTCATAGTTACATTCTTTTTTTAAAACAGTGGAATTCGAATAAAGCAGATGTTACCATCAAAGGAACAAATAAATAAATAAATAGGTTGGTCACTGAGTTGTAACCGATGTCATGGTGTTTTAGTCCTTAGTGCTGCTTGAGGTTCATCAATCATGTCTCAATGTACCCACTCTAGTCTAAATGACTCTATATCACACACACACTTTGTTAAGATGTTAAGTAATTACAGGCAGTCGGCAGTCTTTCCTTCTGTGTACACCTTCAACTACCTAACATAGACTACATCTGTTTACTTTAATTTTAATTAGTAAATTCGTCTATATTTTTACCTGTTTATTTTCATACAAATTAAAGTGACTATTTATTTCCTGATAAAGTTCTATGCTGAATCAATCTTTTTATCTACTATAAGTAGTTATGTCAGAAATTTCGTCAGAATAAAACCAGAAATTTCACGTCAGAGATAAAACTTTTTAATTTATGTTCATGAAATACATTCTGGAAGTTTTTAAAAAGAATCCTTTCATGATTGTTGTCTCATTCAGTTTTTCAAGAATATACCATTGATATTATTGCGATATACTTCATAGTTTTATCTACGACAATAATGATATACAGTACTGATCTCTTTAAATATTATTATTGTAGAGTATTATACATATTTATTGTTATATTATTTTAATTTTTACATATACAAATTATTACTATAGTACAATTCATGTGATATATATATATATATATATATATATATATATATATATATATATATATATATATATATATAGGGATTCAAGTTTATTTGGGGTTATCAAAACGGTTGAGGATTAATTAATGATACCTTCTTTTAATTGTTATGGCATATGTGAATCTGCATAAGTTCGTTATATATGACCACTAATTTGTTCTTAGATCATAAAATTTCTTGATCTCTCTACAGGTCCCATCAGTTCGTACAGTGATTCCCGGTCAACCATCGTTAAACAAATGTCGTTTCCACTCATCTGGTTCATATATAGCCATCGGTGATGATAATGGACGTATTCACATGTTCGATTTGAATGAAGTAAGTGAAATTATTTGGACGTCGTTAACATTATTCTCGATCAGCTATCACTCCAATTTACGAAGCAGCAGAATTTAGTTTAAACAACGTATTATCTTAAATCATTAGTGTAGTAAATAGTTGAGATATGAAAGACCTTAGGTTTCGTGATTAATGTGCTCACCACATTCCAAAGTATGGATACACCAACTGATGCCGAAAAATTGCTATTTAGGTTCCTGAAATCTTTTGTAAAAAGGGATTTACTCGCAGTAACTGCATCAAAAATATTTGTTATATCGAAAACACTACAATTATTATTGTGTGCATCGATAGTCTGCCGATATCCAAGTTGCCGGAACTCGGAGGTGGTGACTTTGTGGTCATTTAAAGCAGAAAGTAATACAGTTGTCATCGTATGGATGAATTTTGTGCATATCTGTGACGTACATATTTACTTAGTAGTATGTTACTTGGAATGTTAGAACTGTTACTCGACAACTGTACGGATTCTAGTTTGGACAGAAGCCAGGAGCAGGGAAATCTGCACGTGGCATCAGTCTACTGAGTCACTAACTGTTGCTGGTCTAAGCCATGTTGGTAAAGACTACCTTGTTGAGGTACGGGTGCCATAACTTAGAATCTTTCGCATTGGTCCAGGTACATTCACTCTTTATCTCACCTTAGATTTGGAATCAGCATCTCTTCATACACACCTCCCCATTATCTTTCCAAGCCTTTCTTTCTGTCATTGATACTACACCATTTCTACCTATTTTGTTATTTTCATCTCGTCATCATAGTCTAGTATAGCGACCTCCGCCAACGCGTATATTTGCCAGGCTTCTATATTGATGTCTGTCTGAGGTACTCCGATTAGAGCTACATCATACTAATAGAAACAATAGGATCAGAAAGTACCTCGTAATAAACCCCAACAATATTTCCAAGTAACTGCAGTCTTGGTTACATATGGTTGGTACATCCGTTGATAACTTCACAAGGAAGTATCTACTTGTTCTTATTCTTTAGACCATGGCAATCCCTCATGCAGATGAGTGGACGATGTTTTCACACACAATCAGCGAACTTCGACAGCTTGCAGTTGAACAAAAAGAGAACGATGCCGATACTTTATTTGGACAAACTACCGTGCCGCCTACACCTGTTATTCATTGAATGGGTGCAAGTTGTCCTACTGAACGATAACCCATAACCTTCTGGATAATTTCCTGTATCGCATAATAAATGTCTACTGATCTTACGATGTAATACTCATTTTAACTTCGAAATTGGCTTTTACTATGATTTCAACGTTTTAATCGTTCCGAACCAACAAAGCCATATTGTGGTGATATTTCTATCGGTTTGTCACTATTATTTTTCACAATGTTGACGAACGTCCGTTAGCCAACAGGCTGTTGAAATTACTTCTGAAAACAAAATTTAGTTCACGATTAAGGTAAACAGACATTCGCCACTTGCAAAGTCAGTACGTTCTCACACTAGTTCTTCTCACCAGAAGAACTAAGCCACTGTCGCTCCGAACTGGTGGTAATAGTGTCAGTCTGCCGCCTGGAGTTGTGTCAATCTGGCGGTGGGTTTCACAGTTGTCTAGAACGTGTAAACTAAACAATTAGACAGTGCTTATCTCGTATACTATGGATATGTTGGTCCGATCACGAATGCGATTTACTACACAAAATTCTGTTCAGCTTTTACATAAAGCACATGCTGCAAACGAAATCTCCATAAATACCATTTGACTCCAACTCTTAAGGAGATAAAACAAAGGTTGATGCAGAATAATATGGGGTTCACTTTATTTCGTTAGGTTCACATCAGCTGCTTACGATGTACAATATTTCAAAATCAAAGTTATTAAAAACATTGACATACTCATAAATACGAAGGAGGTCAAAGATAAATGTGTATCATGACGGCGAAAATTCCAAGAATTGATAAGGCCACAGAGTTCTTTGTCCTAGACAAATAAGATTTGAGGGGAAGTTCCAGAACATTGGACTAGTGATTAGAACTTATAGATTTAACAAACTCTATATGACTGTGTAGTGAAGTAATTGTAAACGGATTATTGGTAATAAAGATATGAGTTGAAATCAGTCAGTTATGAGTCAAAGGGAAATGACAATGAAGTAGTCGAAGCTCCAGGAACAGTGGAAATAATGAACGATGCAATGAAAAAGATGTAGTGTTACCAGGGCAAAGGAAGATTTATCAGTTTCTTTTTGGATACATAGGTCTGGATTTAGACTTTTGACCACTATAGTTTCGGGAAATCTCAGGAGACTATAGTCCGATTGTTTATTAATCATCTTGAAAGGATTCAGTGTATCCACTTGATGTCCTGTGTCAAGATGTTTCATATAGTGCTGCCGAATGCTTTTAGCCCACTTGGACTTTTTTGAATTTGTCCTTCGGATCAGACGTAGGCTTTCCTTTGTTTCACCAATGTAACTGCTTTGGCAGATATATGTGGATTTGTTAAAATCACAGTTGGCAATAACATAGAGAGGGTAACTACCGCTCTTCGATTGCGCTAAAGAACATGTTGTATTGGACAAAACAATCAATTTAGCTGCAGGACGTCATAATATGCATATTCATCTCTAATCTCCTTCGTACTTGTATGTCAATGTTTGTAATAAATTTGATTGTAAAATATAATACATCGTAAGCGGCTGATGAAGAACTAGATAAATAAAATGGATCCATATTATTCTGCATCAATCTTAATTTTTGCTCTCTTTAACATTTACTTTGGTTTAATGCTTTCAAGGCCTAACGTTTATTTTACTCAATAAAAATTGCAATTCGTTGATCCCACTCCCTCGAAATTTTTAGAATTTAGAACAATACTAGTACTTTACTTGCCTGTATTTTTAAGACTTATTTTTTGTATAAACATACATGGATCAAAATTCCCGCAAGCAGACAGTACTGGTTCTGAACTAGTTGTTTACCTGAAATTGATGACTGATAAAAGTAAGAGTATTTGAATATTCGACTTTTGCATTCTTTAAGGGCATTGGAATAGTAACAAGAGTTAGGAGTGTCTGTGAATTAATTTCTTGGGAATATAACTAGTAAGACGAACGTTCACCGAAATGAAATCAAGCCAGCATCGATGAGCTTCATTAGTTTGGATGCTATCTCTGGGTTATTAAGGTGTGCACGAAGTGCAGTGGGATCTGACATCTGATCTAGAATAAGGCGCATGGCTGGATCGGACAAGATGGAAGCTATTTCAGGATCGTTCATAGCACGTTTGCGAGCTGCTTCTGGATCGTCATCATTTGTATACGATTGACTGAGGCCTTCTCTAGCTTCCGAGCAATCTGGATCTAGTTCTAGAGCTTTTCTGAAAGATCGAAGAACATAAAAATCATGTGAGATTAACAAATCTTTCAACTAATACGTTGTCTACTTATTTTACAACCAAGTAACCTATTTAATGCATTTCACCAGCAGTCGTACCAAGCACTTCATCTAAACAAGTATACGACAGTTTCTGATGGATTACACTTGTGCGCAAAATCTGGATCGAGTGGTGCTAGATCATTATGGCATTCTCAAATGAGACACTTCTACTTAGGTGTAACTCGGGGTGAAGTACCTATTGTTTTTCTCAGGGTGTTCGCATCAGCTAAGTGGTGCAATCGATTGAGAATCTGATGGCAAATTAACCATAGAACTATAATTTATTTATTTAAACACATACATATTGGTACAAAAGGGCACCAGATACATATGCGCCACACATAGAACTATAATAATTCTCTCTCCATATATATATATATATATATATATATATATATATATATATATATATAAAACAAATATCTAATAAATAGTCAATGTGGGCTCACTGCAAAAATTCCTTAGAAATAATCAAATTATGACATCATGATCACTGAATAATTGTCAAATTAATGTGTAATCCACATGCTTGACCTTGTACTTCTAAAAAACTCGCTCGTTTGATAAGTCAAAAGCTGGAAAGATTTCTGGAAACCTAATTTGCAAAGACGGTCTAACTGAGGTTGTTACAAATTATCGTCAAAAATTTGTCATAGTAAACATTTTTCTTAAAATCTAACCAATACAGTAATCATTCTATTTGAAATATCTGAATTACAGTTCTAAAAACTTTGGTTATTAAATCCATCAGTGGTGAGTGCCGTTTTGAAGGTCGAAATAAGTTTTGTTGACTTTTTAACCACCCATCAGCACTTTCGATGGTGTTTTGTTTTCTGAGTTGGATGGTTTGGTCGTGGAGCTTTCATCGTTCTTTTGAACATCATCAGCACAAGCTTCGGGTAACTTGAATGGAAAAGCTGGCAGGTTTGGATGTCTTATCTAAGAATACCGAAAAACACCATAAAATCACGAGTATTAAACGTGGGGAGTTCTCTACCAATGAGTGAGCTTTTTCATCTACAACTGGCCCGTCTCTGGGAATTGTCTAATAAATGGTAAACTCCTTATCAATTTGTCAGGGGACTAGTAGTTTGTCATTAATATTGGTGCACATTACCAGCTTTAATTGTAGCTACCGTGACTTTGTTTTTAGTAACGCGGAAAAGCTGTTTGGGAATGTATCCAACTGATATTTTTAGTTTCGAATGATGACACGTAAAACACTTCTACTTATGATTTGTAAGTTTTATCACAAAAAGCACATACACAGGTGACATGAAGGAGAAGCAATCATGATTGGTAAATGGTCTATTTGGGAGTGATGATGTATAAACACTTTCAAACAAAGGTAGATGATAAATATACAGTTAATTACAAAAACCCGATGATGTTGGAGAACCATTTAGTAAGTACAAAAAGGACGTTCCATAGCTATTAGGCAATAGTGAACTGATGTATAGTAGCCTAGAACAGGACATTATGTCAAAGAACAACTTTACAGCTTTTACGAAAGTCGATAAGTATCTACTCTTAAAGAATACACAATATTAAGTCATACTAATGGGGAACACTATTGTCAAAGTGATTGTAACGAACACACACTCAAAGCATCATATTCGGTTTTACGATTCCGGACGTTTAGAATGGTCATTTATACTAAATACCTAATGAATATGAATACTTATTTATTGTTGAGCTTTCTTATGTGTGGTTTATTATAGAAGACCTTATTGTGGTTTCTGATGATCTTGATTTTATCATGTTTTACGACTTGATTGAAAGTCAATACTTAAAATCAGAACAGTGATAAATGATTAGACTAGAAACCGGATATCAATGATAAGTAATTACATTTGTTAAAGATTCAATAACGACATGATAACGGGGAAACAGCTCTGGGGGGTGTCTTTGATCTCAGAACTGGATGGTGTAAGAGCGAATGTTTTCGAAGGAATTACTGGCCTCTGACCATCAAGTGCCGAATCAGTTCGTGGGTCGTACTCTGATTAGTCGGGGTGGACGAACATGAAGATCAATTGTAGCAAAACCGTTAGAACCATAGATCCCATAAGCCATTATCGTGCCAGGTATTTTAGTTGGTAGTCTCACGACTTCATATTGCTGATTGCACCGAGGTGTACAAGAAATCATATGCTTTATGCGGATAAATATCGTTACCAGTGTTAGTACATTTCAAGGGGAAACATACCATTATGAGTTACAAAATTTCCGGTACTGAAATTATAATTTGCAAAGTATGGAGCTATTAACAATAAAGTCGTTCTGAATGACTTCAAGATAGTTTACGAGATTTATAACTTCGACTGACAAAACCACTACTAACACGATTACCGAAGTCGTTCAAGAAGAAATAACGTCCCACGATGTAGGGAACTACAGTGCTAACAACCCACATGCTTCTGACAGCACCTTACCAAGAAATAAACATTTACCCGACAGTGGATTACTTATGGAAGCTTCAGGGTCATACATCATAAGTGCAGAATTAGCACTGTACCATAAAAGAAACAGCCCGATTGTGGCTCAGGTCGCCACGAACACCTCTTTTTCCAACAAGTATAAGTCTTTAGGATGAAATTGTTTTCCCAATTACGTATGTTTACTAACTATATCGGCCAATTACTTTTAAATCAACTACACATGAAACCATTTATTACTGGCCTTTAGTAACCAAGTTCTGTGAGGAAACTGAGGACTGTAAACCCGTGATTGACATTTGATGAACACCCGAAAAAAGATGGTTAAGTAGATAAGGGTTTACATTTGACGTGATGTCACTGAAGACCCTTACTGTAATGAGTGATCACGAAACAGTGATTTTGGAACTCATCCATTGAGCAAGGACAACAGTCTATTTTAATGGTGCTATTCCAGTAAAAGCTGGTAACAAGTATTATTGCTTTTGTACAGGAACTGAACGCTAGAAATATCGACTTTTTCATAACAGACAAGTGTTTATCCCTGTCCAAGACGTTGACACTAGGTACCATTTAGTAACTAACTAATATTGTAACTAGTTTAATATCCTAAATTATAACTGAAAAAGACACATCCAGCCCGTTTTTGCACATAAAAATACTGATGATATGAAACTTTCTGAACATACCGAAAAGCTTTCCTTGCTTGAGTAAAATCCTTCATAGCATTGCATACTGCTCCTTTCCTGAGGTAACCTTTAATGAATTTCGGATCTGCCTCGATGCACTTATTACAATCACTAACAGCTAAAGTAAACTCCATCAACTTCGTGTAACATGCTGCACGATTACTGTACAGTTTTGCATCTGATGGATTTCTCTTTATTGCCTCAGTGTAATGTTTTATGGCAGCTGGGTAATCACCCTTCTGATAACATTCGTTTCCCTTGACTTTCTCCATTTCCGACATCTCTGGGTTAATATATGCTAACCTTTCCTGTTCCTTCATACGATTTTCCAAAGCTCGAGCACTCTTTTCAACATCTGGTTGTCTAGATTCCGATAGTGACTTGTCGTAATATTTTTTCGCATTAGGATAATCCTCCTTTTTCTCGAAGGCATGGGCAGCACGTGCAAATGCTTTAGCAATCAACTTGAAGTCGGCTCTGTTTTCTCTGCCTACCTCAACAGCCTTTTCGCATATCTCCACACACTTATCATATTCACCTTTTTCGTAGTAGACTGCAGCTTTGTTTGTGTAATACGTTATGCACGTTGGGTCAAGTTCTATTGCATTGTCGTAATGTGTAATTGCAGTTTCGAAGTCCTTCTTCTTATAAGCATCATTACCTTTTTCTTTCTCAACATCTGCTTCTGCACGCCCCATGACGAAAGTTAGTAACACAACGCAGATTCCAGAACAGTCAGTGGATATCGGGATCCCTTAGCGCACATTAACAAATTCGTTCAAGACCCAATGCTGTGATAGTTTGATAGCACTGAAGTAGTGCTATCATAGTGACTTTTCCGAATTATTAAGGTAACTTCTGATCGATATATTGTCTAAAACCTCAATATTTAAAGATGAAGTAATCTACTGGAAAACTACTACTGATTCCGAGTAAAATGATAGTATAGTCAGTCTTCAGCAATAAGGATAGGAAGTCTGTCGATCTATACTAATCCTTGCCGTTTTTAACACAGTGTAGGTTCAATCTGGTTTTGAATATATCGATAGAAGGTGCTGATATTACGATTTATGTTAGAAAAGCCGCCTCTAGGAGGTTATCTTTGCTACGGTTGAAGAAAGAAACCTGATACTGGGAAACTCAAGCATCTGGAATATGTGTCCGTGAGGACCTCAGCGCAGTTGACCTATTGAGAGACGAGCTGCAAAATTAGAAATAAACATGCACCGCCGAAACGGTGAAAGAAAATTCGATCTTATGGGGTTTCAAATTGTTAAACCAGAGCAAAACTATCCCCAAACCGCTCTGAGTCGTAAGGGAAAATTCTCCACAAAATTAA